AAAAAAAAAACTACCATTCCCGTCATGCACTTGCTGGGCATAACGCGGGTCTCGAAATATACTGTAGTAATTAAAAAGTAGATTTATTCAGCGAGTTGCCAACCTCCGGGATCAGGAGACAACGGAGAATACAAAAAACGAACTGCACCTATGTAATGTATCTAGTCAGCCTTGAAAAATAGCAAAAGTAATCAAATTACTTTTCATATGAACATTAGATGACTTCGAAAGACTTGGAATTATGGCCCGTCGCTGTGTTTGAGGAGGATTGTTGGTGATAGACCATAAACGCCCATAGTATTCCCAATTCGGAGGCAGAAATGGCCATAAATAGATCAATAGTTAGGCGACAACAGCACTTCGGAGGCTGACCATTTTCAACTTTCATCGCTGCCTTAGAAACATTTGGAAGCATTCCAAAGTTGTGAGTGCGTAGGGTGCGCAGATACTTTATTTTTCCGTTGCTCTTTTTCATTTACTACAAATGCCTTACGTCACTTCACTCATTGCGGTACCATGCACTATGCAATACCCATAATCATCGCAAATCAAATGCAAATAATAAAAAGAACCATCGTGTACCAGATACAATAATCAAAACCTATCAATCTCCGGCCACTTTCTCGCTATCCGCCCTTCGGGCAAGTTTTCACAAGTTTTCCATAACGACAGGGAAGGCGCAGCTCTTATTTCTGAAAGGAAAGCACTCCGTAGGAGGAGCGCTCCCGCAGGTAAATTTAAAAGAGATTGCGTGTATTATATCTTCCAAAATAAATAACTACTGGAATACAATTCTGAGCATGCTCCGGACTAGGATTTAAAGCGCCTTCCGACACTGCCCGGACTGCATTTCCCAGAAAGTAGCTGGACTTGGAGACTGGGGCTATTTTTGAATTTCCCCCGAGGGAGAGAGAGAGAGAGAGAGAAATTGTCCATACAGCTGGAGCTGCCATTCCAGTCCTTTTCTTTAAGCTCTGGACAAAGTAAGTATCCACCCAACTTTTCTCCTCAGCGGCGTCCCGAAGTTGCGGCTCGTCTCGCCTTTCCCTCTCGCACGGGATCTTCCTTAGATGCAGCTCACCTGAAGTTTTTGGAAGGAGAAGCAGCTTTTCGCTTTCAGAACAAAGAGATGTGGAGGGAATCACCTTCTACAGCTCACGAAGGTTCTTGCGGGAAAATGTGTGGCTTTCCCGTAGGTTGTGATTGAGCCGAGAAATGAATTTAGAAAAAGAATCGGATCTTGTTCAACTTTCTGGGAAAAAATGTGGCGGTGGAAAACGGCGTGGATTTTACACACAGGTCCTGAGTTTGGTTATGTTTGTTCTTACGTTTCTGGAAACAGGCTATATGAGACAGAGACACCAAGAGTGCATAGAAGATGAATTTGGCTTGTAACTGCCTCTTTATCTGGAGTAGAGTTTTTAAAATAAATCTATATTCGGTAAGTTTGCCTAGAATAGGTAAAATCTAGTTGTAGAGTTGTAAGCTTTTCCAAAGCAGACTTCAGACGTATGAGATCTGGTTGGTTTTCTGGATGAATCTGGAAATTCTGACTTACTGAGGCTTTGAAGCAAAGCAGCAGTTTGTGTAAGGGAACATTGGTTGCAGTGTGGAGTGCTTCTGAGTACAGTCTGAACCGTGGACTTGATTGTGAATGCCAACAATTTCACATCCTTTGACTCCTCTTTTTTTTTCTAATAAAAATCGGGGGAGGGGGGGGAGGTTTGCTGGGGAGATGCCATAATTGTGGAGCAGTAGAAAATGATAATACAATCAGCATTTGCATTTATCACTGGCTATGCAATTTCATCTTCTCTAAGCAATAAGTAATAATCTACATTGTTCATAGTAACACATACTGGCTGTAAAGCACTCTGTGGAACTAATGTTTAAAATCATCTGAAATTTCCAATGAGCATAAACAGTTGCAGCTTGGCAGCTCTCTAGTGTTATGACACCTAAGCAAAATGATTGCAGCTTAGTGGCTTATTGAGCACAGTTGAAGGTGTCAGTATTAACTGAGGGAGGGAGGGAGGGAGGGAGAGAGAGAGAGAGATGCAAATAATTACTGATATTCTATATTGCTTGTGATTTATTGATAAGAATGCAGCTAATTCCAGGCAAGCACAGGAAGGGAATCCCATATTCTTCAGTCATGACTGATTTTTAGCGTGCCACTAGGATGGCCAGTGTGTCAAGGAAAATAGAAGTACCATAGTTGTTTAACATCCAAAGGAAGACAGGTTTGTCCCATGGAGAGAAATATTCTTGTATTCATGTATGGACTGCACCAGTAGAGGCTAAACCAATTTTGTTGTATACATGATGTACAATGACAATAAAGGCTTTGAACAGTTAAAAATATATACTTTATCTTAATGAATCTGCTCTTTATCATACTTGCAGAAAGACTGGGTGTGAAGACAAACACTGAAAAGATGGTTGGAAAGAAACTTAACTTATGCAATTGCCACAAGGTGATGCTTGCCTCATCTTTGGGCATCATTGTATTGCTGTCTCTCATGAACACCTGTTTCGCCCATGCCCAACACTACCAAAGTTCATCTTGGGAAAAGAAGCGTGTGGAACGTGACTTTTTATCTGAAGTGACTCGTTCTGTAAGGAAGACACTGGAGAATTTGGTTGGTAAAGAGAACTTTCTGATGTTGAATGAGGTATGACAGCAATGCTATCCTTATTTTTATATATGTGTGGAAAATAAGTCACATACTAAATGAATTGAGTGACACAATTTGGGAAAATATATAATCACATAGTTTTCCAGGGAATTATCTAGAGAAAGAGCACTCAATCATGCTGTTAAACAAAAACTTTGTCTACCAATAGCTAGTATATAAGACATCCATAACCTTCAAGTTGATTTTCCAGTCTTTTCAGTTTTTCATATGGTAGGAAGAAGTATTCCAATATATTATCTTCTGAGCACTATTCAGGATTGATTTGCATCCCATGTTTGTTTTTTAAGTAGGATTCTTGGCTCAAAACAGTCCAGCTTTTCTTTATACAAATACACAAAAGGACCTAGGAAATGTCTTGTATTGCAGTTTTGGTTAGCTGATTGCAATCTATGAAAATTCTTGATGTTCTCCTCCCCTCCCCCCAAAGTGATGCTATGTAATAGCTTGCAAATAATATTCCATTCAATATTATATTTGCAAAGAGTTAACATAACCATAATAAGATTTAATATAAGTTAGTTTATAAATTAATCTTATTTGTGCAATCAGATTCTCCTCCTCCTGCAATTCTTTTCTCTCTCCCACCCACCATCAAATCTTTTCCTTGAGTCTTTTCCCTCATATTTGCCCCACAATTGCCCATCCATTCTTTAGGACACATTTTGAAAGTGCAAGTGTACCCTAGATGTGGAAGAAAAATTACTCTCCATGTTATTCCTGGAAATATTTTAATCTCTCTCTCTCTCTCTCTCTCTCTCTCTCTCTCTCTCTCTCTCTCTCTCTCTGTGTGTGTGTGTGTGTGTGTGTGTGTGTGTGTTTGAGTCAGTCTTGATCCCTGGAGCCTGCCTGGAAAAGTCCCTGCAGTTTTCTTGGGAAGATTTCAGAAATGGTTTCTTCTCTATTCAAAGGGATTCTAAACAGCTTATTCGGTGTAATATATTATAATGACAAACTAATGGATGGAAAGAAAATATAAATTGATTTGTTTCATCACATGAATGACAATTACAAATTCCTACGCATTTCAGATATAAACCATTTTCTGAATGTCAAGTCTAAATCTTCTGTTTTTTTAAAAGAACAGATTCGCAGCTAAGTTTTCAAACATCAGACTCCTGATTATGCCAAAGTATGTTCCCAATTCAGTGTAAGCTATTCCAAAGTTCAGAAGTAATGCCATAGCTGGTGACTGTATTTTGTGCAAATTACATGAAAAGATTTCCCCATAACTTTAGAATAGTATCACAAAAATTTCCTGGCTTCTTTGACCCCCCCCCCCCCCCCCTTGTTGAGAATGAGTTTACAGGGGAATTTACAGGGGAAAACCCAATGCAGAGGGAGTTCTGTGGGAACAAGATCTCAGTTTTGCAGAATCCTTTGAGTATAAAAGTTTGTACTGGTGATCATTCATCTTTCACAGACACTTTCAATGCATACAGATGGTGGGAGGATGAGACTGGTGGTGAAAGCATTGCCATGCCAATAACTTTGTAAAAGCAGTTTATATCTTTTTAAAGTATGCTGGCCAGGATGGAAGTCTCATCCTGGAAAGGTTTCCATTGGAATTCAGCCTATCTCTATTTCATTCTCCAATGGCTCTGATATTTTTAGTCACTGGTATCTTTCAAATCTGATACTATATCAGTCAAGCAGGCCCTTAGTTTTGCATATGATTCCTAATTCTTTTTGCCATTCAGAGCACATGTACTTTTATGCTTTCAATTTGGTTTACAGTTTTAGTCATCTGTTAAATCTGTACCTTATTATCACAGTTCGATTTAATCCTAACTCATTTAAGCACTGGAGGGAGCTGCAGCCCTATCATTTGCTATGTGGCTCAGGTGAAAGACCATCCCCTTTATGGTAAATTGACACATATTTATAGAATGTTTAGTGCTGTCGAAAAATTCTGTGTGTATTTGCTTTCCTTGCAGAATATGTCTGCCATGCTTTGGATAGTTTCCTCTGGAATCTCTTCAGCCTTCTGTGTTGTGGCTCGAATTACAGGGCAGTTTCTTACATCCTTTGGATTGGCTGGTAAGTGACCAGGTTATTGGCCTAATGAGGAAAAAAAGATGGAAGTTAACCGAAGAGGTTAAGCATGTTGCAATCTAACAGGATATGGGACATAGTCCTATTCTTACTTTAGTCTCCCTTTCAAATGTTGTGGGATTGTCTTCCAAGTAAGCAAAAGAAGGATTGCTATATTAAATGTGTGCCTAAACTGGATCACTACTGAATAGGAATCAGCATGGAGGAATGGTCTGCTTTTTTGCAGCAAAGGCCAGTCTGGTGTTTTTTTTAAACCTTAGATTAGTAATACAGCATGAATATTGTTCATATTCATTCAGGAAGTTATCTCACTAGTTCCTTCAAAGAAGTAAAATGGAACTCCTGGTGATCAGAAAATACTTATGTGGTTTTCATAGTGACAAGGTGAAAGTTTTTCTTCATGAGCTTCATCATCTTCCTGATAGCCCTTTCTTTAACAGTTCAATCCTGGGTCGTTTTTTTGAGAGAAACACAAGTTGAGACATTTAAGTTTGCTGCTAAGTATTCCCAATCCTCTTTTGGGAGCTTTTGGGATGGCCTAGCATACCATTGGTAAATCCCTTGCTGCTCGCTTGGCTGCCAATTTTTTTATAACTTTCTGCTAAACTGGGAGAAGGAAAAGCCTTTTTTCCTCCTCCCTATAGGCTTCCTTACTGACATCATTAATGCTTTTCTTTTGGAAGATATATTGCTGATCAATATTGTTGAGAATGCTACATTGGTGTCTTTTTGCCCTCATCCATAAATGCACTTTGTCCCGAGTTGGAGGGGGGCTTTTTCCAATATGAAAGGTCCACTGGGTTTCGGCGGAGTCAGTTTCCAAATACAGGGTGCTCAGGATGAGTCTTATGTCTTTCCTGAACTGATATATAATGTATCTAAGAATACATTTAAATGTGAACAGGTCTATTACATAAACAGTTGTCCAGAAATTAAAGCTGACATTTGTATATCTCAAAAAAGCTGGAGTTTTGGATTATTATAAACGAGCATGATTGCTAATATATTTGATGCATCTTGGCTTGTTCTCACTACAGGAATAATAAAGTGTGCCCAGGAATCTTCATCCCTGATTTGTTTAACATTACAGTACATCATAGTTAAGATCTGTGATTAGTTGTCCCATAACAAGACAGAGTCTGAAATTAAAAACAAACATTGGCTTCCTGTTCTCGTGTAATAGGAAACCTTAGTTTTATGTTACAGTTGAAGTTTTGTTATGGGATTAGGTTTATAGTATACTTGTACACTATTGGATTTAGGTCAAATTAGACTTTGGGTTCATTAGGCCTTTTGGTTTAAGTTGTTGTTGTAGTAGCGAAGTTGTGTCCGACCCATTGCAACCCCATGGACAACATTCCTGTCCTCTACCATCCCCTGGAGTTCATTTAAGCTCAGGCCGACTGCTTCAGTGACTCCATCCAGCCACTTCATTCTCTGTTGTCCCCTTCTTCTATTGCCGTCAATTGTTCCCAGCATTAGGCTCTTCTCCGGTGAGTCCTTCCTTCTCATTAGGTGGCCAAAGTATTTGAGTTTCATCTTCAGGATCTGGCCTTGTAAAGAGTAGTCAGGGTTGATCTCCTCTAGGACTAACCGGTTTGATAGCTTTGCAGTCCAAGGGACTTGTAGGAGTCTTCTTCAGCACCATAGTTCAAAGGCCTCAATTCTTATGGTCCAACTTTCATAGTCATACATTCAGGGGTGGGCTGCTACCGGTTCTCCCTGGTTCGGGCAAACCGGTAGCTAATTTTATGGCTGGTTAAGCGCACTGGCAAATCCCACCCCTGTCTGGCCCCACCCACCCTGCCCCTCCCAGGAGTCCCCATGCAATACGTTTTGGATCTCTGGTAAGTACAGGGCCCGCACAGAGGCTCAGAGAGGGCAAAAAATGGGCCTCCCGGAGGCTCTGGAATGCCGGAAACAGCCCCGTTTCCAGCCTCCGGAGAGCCTCCAAAGCCCGGGGAAGCCATTTTTGCCCTCCTGATGAAAGCCTCCAGAGCCCAGGGAGAGCGAAAAATTTCTGGAAGTTCCAGAAGGCCAGAAACGGGCCGGTTTCCAGCCTCCAGAGGACCTCCGGACTCCAGGGAGGCCATTTTTTGCCCTCCTGGAGGCTCAAGAAAAGCCTCCAGAGCCCACACCGCTCCCCCCCACACCGTGGTACAGGAGGCTGACTAGGTCATGCCCACATGGCTATGCCCACACAGCACCTGGGCAGAGAACAGGTTGCTAAAATTTTTGAAGCCCATCCCTGCATACATTGCAACTGGAAAAACCATGGCCTTGACTATACACACTTTTGTTGGCAGGATGATGTCTCTGCTTTTTAGTGGTTAAAATTAGCACTAAAGTAAGTGTCTGAGAGCACTGTTTTAATGTCTTAGATTTAGATTAGAGTTGAAGTTATTTTTAGAAACTCGGTTTACAGTATATATTTGCATTGGAATTATAGTGAACTTAAAGTTTGGAATATTTAAGGTTTAAGATTATAATGTAATGTCAGTGTTAATATAAGGGTCAGGGTTAGCATTTTTATGGGTAGGTGTAATTGTCATAGTCCTATTATGTAGCTCCTTTGTGGCAGTGACAGGATGTTTCTGGCAGGGATGACTAAAAAATACTGGAATGTACCAGGAATATTTTCTTCCAGGCAGGTCACCCAAGACATAGTGATCATGCTCGCTACCCAAGAGATAATATCAAAATCCTGAATGAGGGTCTGAAGGTTGGGACTGAATGAAGTGGAACAGACTCACTGTCATTCTTAACACAGGTCAATTAGTCTTGGTCTTAGATAGGATTGAACTTTCACAAGATGGTTGTGCTATCTAGGGGCTGCCCTGAACTTACAGCTGGGAATTGAGCAGCCTCTAAATAAATAAGTAGATAAAAATAAGCAGACACCTATATTGGAATGTGGATGACAGATGGAAACTTTAGGACAACAACAAAGGCATCATTTCATATTACAGTATGCAGGAGAAGGCAATAGTAAATCACTCCTGTATTTTTTTTAACAAGAAAATCACATGGCTAGACAATACAAAGTGATTGATAATATAGTCCTGGAAGATGGCTTCTCAGGTCAGATGTTATTCAACATGCTACACAGTACAAAGAAATTGAATTGATTATATTTTTGAGTCAAAAAGGTGAAAGAGTTCAGTTATAACAGCAAAGATATGGCCAGAGAATGACTGAAACAGATTGTGAACTGCTCGTGCTTAAAATTCAAGTAAATAAAATGGAAGAACAAAGCCAACTGGTTTCTATGATATGTTCTTGAACATAAGCTCATCATTTTCAAGAATCCCAGGAATCTCTTTGATGTCCTGGATTTTCACTGATAGGGAACTAGAGAAGCTGTGGAATGAAATCAAGTAAGTTGCTGGGGTAAATGTGAAAAGAAGCTGCCAAAGATGGAAAACAGAAGAAACCAGTGTCAAAATAATAAAACTGACAAGATGCCAAAGCTAATAAAGACATTACTGTATCTCAGAACAAACTTAACAGCTGGTAGAAGATACAAAAAATAATCTTACAACATTTGTGAAGAGATTAAAGATTGAAATATATAGGCAAAAACAAGGAAAGTCTTGATCTCTAAATGGAGGAGATTCCAACCATGAACTGGTATGGTGTAGTACTTACTGTGCCTTTAATTTTTAACTATAGTCCTTGATGACTGGAACTCTAATCTTAACACTAGCTTAATCTTATCTCCCATGCAAATATGTGCTGTAAAACCCAGAACAATACTGCTATTGTAGGCTTAACCTCAACCCTGATGAGACTGAGTTACTGTGGCCCTTTTGGAACACCTTCTCCCAGGGCAGGGGATGTTTTGTTTTTAATCTATATGGGATTACACTTTTTCTTTTGGGACTGGTATGCAAGTTGGGGGGTCTTGTGGGGCTCCTGCTCAATATTGTGTTTGTTGAGCAAGTAGAAATTATGGCTAAGAAGGCCTTTCAACAATTCCATCTTGTGTGCCAATTGTGACCTTACTTGGACCAGGAGACACTTCAGAGCCCACAATTTGGTTACCTCACATATGAACTACCACAATGTATTCTATATGGGGCTGCTCTTAGAAACTATTTGAAGTTGCAGCAGGTTTAGAATGTGGCGGCATAAGCAATTATGGGCATAACTTATAAATCTGTGTAACAGCTTTCCTCCTTGAGTTGTACTGATTGTCAGTAGGCTTCAGGATACATTTCAAGGTTCTGGTTATTACCTGTAAACCCTCCGTGGCATAGAGTCTTGTTATCAAAAGACCATCTGCCTTTGGTGACTTCTGCCCAGCCTGTATGATTGGACAGAGTTGCCATGCTGAAGATCCCATCCACAAAGCAGTGTCATCTGATAAGACCTAGGAAGTGTATGTTGTCTGTTCCTGCACTGTTTCCACCCACCCACCTAAGAGTTATCTGGCTCCCACCATGCCCATGTTCCAAAGAGTTCTGAAAACATGACTCTTTTTTCCAGGCTTTTGGTTAGAGTAAGAGGTTGGTCTTGTATGTTTGATTGCCTTTCAGTGGTCGTCTATCAGTGTTTAAAAATATATTGTATGATTATTTTTACTGTATGCCACCCAGATATGTGGTAGTTCCCTAGTCCTTACACATTTCAAAAATGAACTCATATAAATCTTAAGACTTGTTCAAACATGAGGTTAATCATTCCATTGATTGAAATTTCCTTGAGTGTTTCTGTCAGTGCTGAGAGGAGAGCAAAAAGATGCCCCACCTTCCTTGTTCTCAATGAACCAGAGGAGGAGCCCAAAGCTTAATAGACAAACAAAGATTTATGGCCATAAAACATGCCAAAGTGCCCACCTGCTGCTCTGTGTATGAGCTACACTGGGACTTCCGGTTTGCTCCTTGTCGGAGTCGGAGCGCAATCCACAATCATGCACAGTTTTGCCCGAGCTCACTTGTTGGAGGGTCCCGATCAGGACCAGAACCACCCTGGTGGGGTGGTGAAGAAGGGGGAAATTGCCTGGAGGGTCGAGGGGAGTCGCAACTCCCCTCCCTGACAGGAAAATCCCTCCCAAAGGCAAGCTGCAGTGGTGGTCCTAAAATGGCCACCACGAAGACAACACTCCGGGAAACTAAGTTTTGTGCTGGAGCAGAGAAGTAGCGAGCAGAGTGTGAACCAGACAAAGGACATCACTTTTGAGGTACCCCGGTATTAAAATAAAGGGCTATCTTGGATTGAAGTGTGTGGAAGCAGCAACCAGAGAAAGTGAGAAAGAAATTGGATCTTATAAAACTTGGATTGGATTAATTTGGAGGAGAAAAGTTAAAGGAAAATACTTTAACACAACAAAGGTTTAGAAATTAAACTGGATAACTATTGAATTATGGGCACTTAAAGGCATAATTCAATGCTGAAATTGAGTGTGTTGAAAAGAAAAGAAATAATAGCTAATGATTGAAATTAGCGAACTTAATAAAAGTATTATATTCAATAGAGAAAGTTAAAGGTAAAAAGCCTCGAGAGCGCCACCTGATGGTACAGGAAAATGTCAGTACGTTTTTAAAAGTGTCTGGTCTTCTCAAGAATTTGGATTTTGGAACTTAAAAGAAAAGAAAATAAACTTTATTATTGTTATAGAACCATCCGACCAAAAACTCAAGAGTATGGATTGTTGAAAATAAATTCAAAAGATATTGGCTGAAATAATATACTGGACTCTGGGATTGAATATATCTATTAAAGAAGAGGATTGTAACTATTAAGGAAGAGGAAAGAAAAGGAAAAAGGAGAAGATATAATGGGGAAACTATTTGTTGATATAAGATTGGACTTACAAGAGTCAAGATTGGATTTGCAAGATATAAGGGACATGATAAAAATTAAACTTGAAATGTGCATTTATGTACTACAGAAATTAGCAATGGTGACTCAGCATACACAAGAACAAAATAAACCAGAGCGGGAGGAGTTCTATAAAGAAAAAGCCAACATTGAAGGACAAAACAAACAACAATTATTTAAGCGGGGGGAAAAGGAATTAGAATTAAAAATTTGTGGTCTGATGGGATGATAAAAGGGAGAATGGTTCGGAAAACGGATAAAGGGAGAGGGAAAAAGCAGAAAAAGGAAGGGCAAAAGAAATATCAAAAGAGGGAGAGAGAAAAGTTTAATAACTGGAATGAGAAATGGAGGGGAATAAGAATGGGAAAAAAGGGAATTAAGAGAAAGGACCAGAAAACAAAGAGGAATAGGAAACAAACAAGGATGAAAAGAAAGTACATTGTCCAAAGAGTGAGAGATAATGGGTGAAAAAAATAGGATAAGGAAAGAGATTCCGCAAGGTAATATGTTGTGATGTACGAGGGCTATCCACAAAATAGATTACGTTTTGCGATAGAAAAAAAACAAAGTGTAGGAAAAAAAATGTATTATATACACTTGAAAGTGACACTTAAATACTACTTTTCAACATATTCACCGAACAAATTGAGGCACTTATCATAGTGGTGAACAAGCTTTGTAATTCCATTGTCATAAAATTCAGCCGCCTGAGATTTGAGCCAGTCAGTCACGCCCGCCCGCAGTTCCACGTCGTCGTCAAAGCGCTGTGTTCCAAGCCAGGTCTTCATCCTCAGAAACAAGTGGTAGTTGCTTGGTGCAAGATCGGGGCTGTAGGGCGGATGAGGAAAAATCTCCCACTTGAAAGCATTCAGGACTTCTTGAGTGCGATTTGCTGTGTGTGGTCGGGCATTGTCATGCAAAAACAAAATTTTTGAGCTTAACTTTCCTCTACGCTTGTTCTGAATTGCTTTTCTTAGTTTTTGCAACGTTTCACAATACCTCACAGAGTTTATTGTTGCACCATGTTCCAGAAAATCTATAAGAAGCACACCTTGCCTATCCCAAAAAAAACAGTCGCCATAATCTTCCTTGCAGAGAACGTTTGCAAACATTTTCTTGGTTTTTGGGGGGAATTTTTGTGCCCCCACTGCATAGACTGCAATTTGGTCTCACTGCTCACATGTTTGACCCAAGTCTCGTCTCCAGTTATGATTCGATCAAGAAATGAATCTCCATCTTTGTCGTAAGAGTACAGAAATGTCACTGATGCGGCCATATGCTGGCTCTTGTGGTTTTCTGTCAGGATTTTTGGCACCCATCTTGCACAAAATTTGTGGTAGCCTAGCTTTTGTATAACAATTTCATGCAACAAACTGCGTGAAATTTGTGGAAAACTAAGTGAAAGTTCCGTTACTGTGAAACGGCGGTTTTCACGAATCTTGTCGTCGACTTTCGTGACCAGTTCATCAGTCACAATGCTCGGACGTCCACTCCGCTGTTCATCATGAACTTTAGTTCGGCCATTTTTAAACTTAATGCACCATTGGCGCACTCCACCTTCAGTGATGATGTTGTCCCCGTACACTTCACACAGTTGCCGAAAAATTTCAATCGGTTTATGGTTTTTTGCCAACAAAAACCTTATCACTGATCGCACCTCACAACTCGCACGATTTTCAATTGCAGCACACATTTCAAATGTTTGCTGTGAAATAACGGGCAACGATACGAACCTCCCACTAGCACGACTAGATGCAGACTGAGCAGCGGACGCACAGACCAAAGATGGCCGCGCTAGCTCTGCCCCTTCTTGCTACAGACGAAAACGTAATCTATTTTGTGAATAGCCCTCGTATAAGAATATATTGAAAATAGTACAGTATTTTGTAATGTATAGATGATTCGTAAGGTGTTTGAGAAAATATAATGTGGAATCTGAGAAAAATATATATATTTGTGTTATATACTAGATAAGGAGATTGATATGAAGGTAGAATGAAGGTAGTTAGTTCAAATTGTTAACCAGAGGGGACAATTATATTTACAGATAAGGATTGATAAAATGACAAATGTGACAGAAAAAAGTAATATGAGAAATGACAACAGAAATGAGATGAGAATTTTAGATAACATTGTAAAATAAGATATGAGAATGTATTAATATAACATGAATTGGAATTGGATAAGATAAGGTTAATATTTAACAATAAGGATGATGCAATATGAAACTAAACAAATATAATGAACAGGTAACTATGGTCATGTTTGTATTGAGATGTGAAACCTGGAACCACACTGCTTGCCACATGATAATTTTTTATTTTAAAAAATAAAATAAAAGCAGGGAGAAAATTGAATAATGGAATTACTAGGTATGTTTAACTGATATGGTGGTAGGCATTTGGAGAGAGTTTTGAAAGGTTGAAAATAAGCATTGAAGGATTATGAATTAATGTGAAATATATGCATTGAGAGATATGATTGGTATTATTAACTCTGCCTATACTAAAATGTATGATATATTGATGCCACGCTATTAATGTATTGTGCATATGCAGATTGAAATAAAAAATTTTTTGAAAAGGAATTAATGAGTTACACCATGAGGTAAAAAAGGAGGAGTTTGTTTGAGCTGTAATAATACTTAACACGTTGAGTGTAGTTGTTCTTTGTAAGTAGCTAGTGAGTTTCTTTCCTGTATGTGGTAACACTTCCTCCTAAACTACCGTAGATGTAGACTTATCCTAGTTGAAAATTTGACTTAATTCACCTGGGGTACCATGTGGGGAAGGCTGTTATAGTGATACATTGGACTGATTATATTGCTTTTTTTTTTCTTTTGTGTTTCAGGAGATGGATTAACACAGTTTCTGAAGCTGAGCCCTGAGCAGGTTCAGGCATTGCTGCTCTGGAGCCTGGCTGCCCTGATTAGCTATTGGGTGCTCTGGCTGCTGTTCAGCCTGTTGTTCATTATCTTAAGCCGCATCATGTGGGGCCTCAAGCTGGTTCTCTTTGGAGGCTGCTTTGCATTTATTGTGTTTACTGTGCCTGACCATTCAGTACAGATTTTACTTCTATTGGCCTTGCTAACTTTCTATGTTTTGCTGGGTTGGTTGAGTGGATCCTATCGCTCTGATGCACGGCTGGAGGCTAAAGTGCACAACTTGGAGCGCCTAGTGGAGGAACTGCAACGGCGGCAGAAGCGGTCTCCCAGATACCTGGATGAAGAATAAATTTCAGGCGGGGGGCTTTCCACATTTACCCATCTTGTCCAAGAAGCAACTACATTTCTCTCTCTCTTTATCACCTATGTTACTTCTTTTTCAGTCTGTACATGTTCCTGGATGGTATCATTTCGCCCACCTCTATTTAGGACAGAAGTCCTCCCTAAAAAAATGATTGCACCTGACATACTATAGCTTCTCAGTTGGTAGTAACATTTAGAAAAGCTCTTTCCCTACTTTTGTTTCGTTGTTTTCATCCCCCTTTTTAGGCCCCGTTTTTCCCACTCTGTTTTTTGCGGCAGCTGTTGGCTTCTTTAAAGACAACGGGCCTGATAATGAAAAATGCTTATTCCTTAAAAGAAAATAAAAAACAGAATTTCATGACTGGGGATATGAGAATGGGTCCTTGGATATGATTATTCTACACTATCATGCTCATATTTATAAAACTCAATGCCTCTGTGAAAGTTAAGGATGACTACTATGTTTGTGGTGCTCCTCACAGCAATCAGAACATTGTGTGTGTTGAAGATGTTTTAATGCGAGCCAAAGATGCCTTTTAAAAGCAGGTTTACATCATTTTCTTATGCATGCCAGTGCTGTGTGTGAGGTAATTTAAGGTGGTTCTGACAAGTGGTGTTCACCTGCTGATCCAGAATAGACAAAACACAAGGGAATATACACAAGCCTTGCACAGTATACAGACTGAATTTACTGTATACTGCAAGTAAGCAAAACCATAAATTCAGGCTTGACTTGTTTGCCTATTGAAGAATGGGCCTGTGGTTTACACTACATATTTTTAAAGCTCCAATTTTAGATTAATTGAATAGTTTGTTACTGTTTTCCAAATAAAGGCTATCTATCTAATCACATCCCATTGTCCTTGGCTGCTTTTTTAGGTTCTAAAAGGAGGAAATATACACGTATGTAAGCTGGATGCAAAAGGGTTGTGAATACACTATATACAAGCCGTGTTGGTGTCTTTTTCCTGCAGAATCTTGAAGTGAACTTCTGATGGTGGGGGAAGACAGTGGTTTCTGGTTTGACTTGACAAAGCAACATTTTTTTTCAACAATTAATGCTGAGCGTACCTGCACACGCAGGCTGGTTGTTTTTGCAGGCTCATTCTATAAAATATTCAAGGAAGTTTATTTTTAAGAAGCTCTCCAAAGATTTTCTGTACTGGTGTGTAACTTTTCACTAAGCCTGCACCATTGTGTAATGCAGATTAAATGTTTATGGGTTGTCTGTACAGGTAGTCCTTGACTTATGACCACAATTGAGCCCAACATTTCTGTGGTTTAGTGAGACATTTATTAAGTGAGTTTTGCCTCATTTTATGACCTTTCTTGCCACAGTTGAGTGAATGACTGCAATTGGTAAGTTATTACTTTGGTTATTAAGTGAATATGACGTCCCCATTGACTTCGCTTGTCAGAAGGTTGCAAAAGAGGATCACAGGACCTTGGGACACAGCAACGATCATAAATACAAAACCAGTTGCCAAGCATCTGAATTTTGATCACATAATCATGGGTATGCTGCAAAGGTGGTAACTGTCAAAAAATGGTCATAAGGCACATTTTTCAGTGCTGTTTGTAACCTCGAATGGTCACTAAATGAACTGTTGTAAGTCAAGGACTACCTGTAATCAGTGGTGGAATTCAAATTGGTTTACCACCAGTTTGGTGGGCGTGCTTTGCGCATGGCAAACACGTGCTTTGCGTGCGCGCAGAGGCTTTCCTACTGACTTTCTCCTGCACTCCTGCACTCTCCCTGTTTCTTCAACAGCTGGCATGCAGCAATCTGCTGTGCCGTGTGATGTAGCTGAGCGTCAAAAGCAGGAAATAAAGGTCAGTATGGACTCCGGGCAGGTGGGCCCAGCAACTGATCACCAGAGTGAACCGGTTCGCTCCCAGATGATCTTCGGCCAAACCAGTAGAATCCCACCCCTGCCTGTAATAAAGAAATCTTATCTCTTCAACATATCCCCAAACATGTTTACCATAATTTTCACTGCATGGGGAAAAAATGCATTTTCTTTGGAAAAGGTTTTGGACAAGAAGATATGAGAGTGGTAAAACATTCTACCATCTTTTGATTTTACAATGCAAGGTGATGTAGCCCAGGCAAATGAACAAATCTCAGTAGCCTATTTATCCTTCGCTTCTTTGACTTCTATTTTTGCTTACAGATCATTGAAGTATGCGCTTGGATCTTCTGCCTGACCCATTTATTTATTTATTTGCCAATCTAATCCCTCCAAATGTGTTGCATTGAGATACTCGCAATCTCCAGCCAACATTGCTGATGGCAACTGGTATATAGCCCAACTGGAAGTCTCCAGCTTAGGAAAGCCATATATCAAGCTCTCCAAATGTATTGTCACCACTTACACTGAACCGCAGCAAATGTGCCTTGGCCATACTGCTTTATTACTGGGTGAAGAGCTGTGGTGGCGCAGTGATTAGAATTAGTACTGCAGGCTAACTCTGTCCACAACCTGGAGTTTGATCCTAACAGGGTTCAAGGTTGATTCAGCCTTGCATCCTTATGAGGTCGGTAAAATGAGGACCCAGATTGTTGGGGACAATATTTTGACTCTGTAAACTGCTTAGAGCCATGATGGCAAACCTATGGCATGCCATTTGTGCGGGCACATGAGCCCCAGCCAAACTTACCTGCACTGTGCATGCGTGCACCTCCCAGCTGATTTTCAGCTCGTTTGAGGCTGTTTTCACTCTCCCAGAGGCTCGAGGGAAGCCTCTGTTGCCTCAGGAGGCCGAAAAACAGGCCTTCCAGAAATAACAGAAGTGCCAAAACAGGTCCATTTTCAGCCTCCAGAGGCTTCCCTTGAACTTCTGGAGGGTGAAAACGGCCTCTCCCGGGCTCCAGAGGCCCTCCAGAGGCTGAAAATGGGCACTTCCGGTATTTCCGGAAGGACCGTTTTTCGGCCTCCCGAGGCTGCAGAGGCTTCCCTCAAGCCTCCAGGAGGGCAAAAACGGCCTCAATCGGGCTGAAAATCAGCTGGGAGGCACGCACATACACAGTGCAGATAAAGGAGCGGGGCGGGGGTGTTGCATGCGCATATGCGCGGGGGGTGCATTGCATTGTGGGTGCTGGCACACGCGCACTATTGGCACACCACAACAAAAAGGTTTGCCATCACTGGCTTAGAGAGTGCTGTAAAACACTGTGAAGTGGTATATGAGTATGTGCTATTGCTGTGTATTGTGATAGCATGCTTACAGGGGTGGGATTTAAATTTAACAAGCAGTTGTGTGGGCGTGGCTTAGTTGGTGGGCATGACTTGGTGGTCATGTGACTGTCTGGGCAAAGGCCAACTCAACATCACTCACATCGTGGCACACATCTCCTCGCATGGCCTCTCATGACTATGGGGATGCTGCAAAAGTAAGTGTGAAAAATGGTCAAAAGTCACTTTTTTCAGTGCCATTGTAATTTTAAATGGTCATTCCACACAAGCAAAGTACCAGCAAAGGAGGGGAAAAAAACTCAGGAGAACTTCCTGAGACAGGAAGTCTAGTCCTGCCAAGAATGTAATAAGGGTTAATGGAGAGGCAGTTTCTGTAAGCAACACCAGAATGTTTCCTTCCTGCCTTCCTTACAGGATTAGGCCAGTAATTTCTTCTAACAACCGGTTCTCCAAACTGCTTAGAATGTTAACAACCGGTTCTAGCGAATAGGTGCGAACTGGTAGAATCCCACCCCTGCATGCTTATATCCCCACTCATATGTGAGACATATACTCTGTATGTGAAACAGATTTACACTGAAAGGTAATCCCACCCCATTCCAATTCCATGTAATCTCATGGTGTGCAAAATGTATGTATGGCTGTATCATCCATTACCTGGGCTAGAAGGACTCAAATGATAGTAAACAGATTTGGTAGAGACAAGATAAAAAGAAGGAATGGGTACAGCAAATTTCAAGCCGGTATCATTTTCTACCAGCTCAAGGCTAGATGGAACACCCTTCTACTCAGCAGTGGGGATATGCTGTCCAGCCAGTTATAGTTAATGGGAATTGCCATAGTTAGTTAGGAATTGAGAGCTGTCCCCTTAAGGGAATGCATCATGGTAAATGTAGTTTAATGCATCTTGGGAAATGTAGTCCATGTCATGTGGCCACATCTGTAACCCTGATTGGTCACTGAATTGACCCTTTGTTGGGTTGATGGGAGGTCTCTTCACTCTCACCTGGACCTCAGTAGCACACCTGCATCTCTACCCCTTGCTCATTCCATATGGGATGAAAGGGATGAAAGATTACCATCATTTTACACCATAAAGTAAGATATGCAAAGATTTGGACATTGAGATGAATCTCGATGTAACCATGAGTTATATTGAGGATGCCTGATGAACCAATAAAAATACTTTGTATGGATGCTTTGTGGAGTTATCTGTCTGCCTGATATTCAGCTAGTAATTGCAGCGCAGAACAGTAAAATGATGATCTGGATTCCCTCAGTATAAAGACAGTTAATTTGGACTCTTAGAAGTAAAGAATTATTGCTATATCGGATTCCCTGTGAAGATTAAGAGCAATTTGAATTCTTGTGATAAAGCAAAGGAATATTGAAGCCAGGAGTGAATGTGCAATGCTAATCTATTTCTCTCTCTCTCTCTCTCTCTCTCTCTCTCTTCGTGCCACAAACTTTAAAGCCTGTTTGGATTGCAGGAAGGGGCCAAAATCCCCCCCCTCTATTCAGCAAGAGAAGCTTCTCTGTCTCAGATTACATCTCTGCTAGCTCAAAAAGAACTGATTTGCAAAACAAAGGGAGGGGCCAGGTATTCCCCATCTATCCCTGTTTCCCTCCAGTTACTACCTACAAACTCTTTTTCAAATGCAGATGAAAAGAGTCAAGGTAATCTCTTCTTGTGGTCTATAAAACAAGAAACTGAAGCTACATTTCTCAGTGGCTGGAGAGGGTTTGCTTTTTTCTTTTTCTTCCCTTTCTGATCCTTCTTGCAACAGGAAGTAAGCAATCTAAGAGGCCTCTCACCAATTTATTGGGGTTTATAAATCATTAGTGAAGAGCAATTTCCACAGCAACAGAGCACATTTCCCCCTCCCCATGAAGACACTAGTCTGATCCATGCAGGCTATTTGAACAAAGGAATTGCAATTTGGTTTCCTGTCTGCTTACAAGCCCAGAAGTTTTCTTTCTCGTCTCCTTTATTTAATGAAAATTAAAGGATATCAGTCTGCATTGCCAGCAAAGAGAACTTACTTAATCATAACTGCCCTTGCATTGCCTCAGCATAAGTGCCTACCATGCAGTTCCCCTTTCAGACTAATTGGTTGCCATCAAGTAATAGCCTAAAGCACCATCTGGTGGTCAAGTAGAAAATCCCCCCCCCCATTTTTTTTTAAGCTAACAACCCTGCCATCCAACTCAAGGGTCTAGCTCCACCTCGTGGCAAGTAATGAATTTACAGGAAGTTTCCTAATTTTAACCACTGTTCAACCAATGAATTTCATAGGAAAATTCTATTTTATCTACTAGCTTGTGGCAACCCCTGGTAACTTAATCCAAGGGTCCAGCACCACCTGCAGGCCAACCTGTGCTTAGCAACAGTGTCTTCCAGGTCTAGCAAGTATCACAAACAGGCAAATTTGTGCTCTGCACCAACATCTTCCTGACTTCGCAACACACCCTATACCAGCCAACTTGTGTAGCAAGCATCACTAACAGGCAAATTTGTGCACTGCACCAATGTCCTCCAGACTTCGCAACTCGCCCTATACCAGCCAACTTGTGTAGCAA